ATATATATATATTATATATATATATATATATATAATATATATATATATATATATATATATATATATAATATATATATATCTTCACCACATCTTTTTCAGCTCCATTCTAATCTTATGGGACCACTGTCGTACATACGGTCAGTTATACATGCGGTCTGTCGTACATGCAGTCCGTCGTTGACCGAAACGTCGTTATGCGACGCACGCCTATTTGAGAGATAGAGAGATGTTTATTTATATGAGAGGCTGTTCCTTATAGATCACAAATGCCATTTTCAATGGAGTAAAAGACCCATTGAAGTTTTCTTACGGCAATAATTGTATATAGAAAGCTTCTTCATGCTAGTCTTGACGTTCGCTCTGAACAGACCAATTCGTAGTCCCACTAGGACTTCTCTCAACCAATTTTTCCTCCATCCAGTCACCCTTTCCCCCTTGTGACCACTAATACAGGGTGCTTCAGAAAGATCATTTGAAATTGGGTCCACTTTTTGAAACACCCTGTATATATGTTTATTTTAATTTTGTTAAGGCAAGGTAAACGGAAACCAAGCCTGTGCACATACTATGCAACTTGGTATCTGCAGACATGGGAAATCTGGAAAAACAGACGGGACGTGCAACTATGACCACCCTAGAAAATGTCATGCCCATATGACAACAGGAAAATGCAAACTCCCTTCCTGTAAGCTTTTTCACCCTGAAATGTGTACCTCTTCAGTACAGGAAAGACTGTGCTATAACTTAAATTGCCAGGCACTACCATCTAAAGGGGACAAAAAGATACAAAACATCCAGGCCATGGGAAAACCTGGGTAGCCACAGCCACTCAAGAGGGAGAGGTTTTTTAGTGCCAGGAAGGAAAAAAAAAACTGGCAGGAAATGGCAGAAATCGTACACCAAATCCAGTCATTCCTCGAGTGGAACCACAGTCGATGGCCTCCACTCCAAACCAACAGATACAGATATTAATGCCGGAAAAAAATCCCCTCCCAGTACCAACAATACCACCAGTCCGATGATATTCTTCTTTGCAAATATACAGGGTCTAAAGCCAGCAACAAACAACAAAATACCTTCCATCCGTGGACCGCTTGCAGAGGCAAAGGCAATGTTCGCGGCTTTCACTGAGACCCACATAAAGGATCACTTGGACAACGAAATATGGATCCCAGGTTACAACCTATACAGATGTGACAGAGTGAACAGGCAAAAGGGGGGGGGGGGGTGTTGGCCTGTACATTGCAGAGTCACTTTGCACAGAACTGCTTAATGCCTCAAATGATGAAGTGGAAGTTTTAGCAGTAAAGGTCGAGAACCAAAACCTAGTCATTGTGGTAGTCTACAAGCCTCCGGATGCAACATCCCAGCAATTCCAGGAACAGCTGTTAAAAATTGACCACTGTCTGGAAAATCTTCCAGCTCCTGCACCCAACATCTTGCTCCTGGGGGATTTCAACTTAAGGCACCTAAAATGGAGGAATATAGCAAATAATATTGTTGCAGTAATAACACCAGGAGGCAGCTCTGATGAAAACTCACACTCACACGAGCTTTCAAATCTCTGTACAAAATTCAATTTAAACCAGCAATAATAGAGCCTACTAGACTGGAGAATACACTAGACCTCATCTTCACTAACAATGATGATCTGATAAGAAATGTCACCATATCAAAAACAATATACTCAGATCACAACATAATTGAGGTTCAGACATGTATGCGTGGAGCCCCAGACCGACATAATGAGATTAGTCACGAGGGTGCATTCACCAAATTCAACTTCAATAACAAAAACATAAAGTGGGACCAAGTAAACCAAGTCCTAACCGATATAAGCTGGGAAGATATACTAAGCAACACAGACCCCAACTTATGCCTAGAACAGATTAACTTGGTGGCACTCGATGTATGCATAAGGCTTATTCCTCTAAGAAAAAGGAGGAGTAGATGTAAAATAGAAAGAGACAGGCGCTCCCTTTACAGGCGACGGAAAAGAATAACAGAGCGGCTAAAAGAGGTCAATATATCTGAAATGCGTAGGGAGACACTGGTCAGAGAAATAGCAAGCATCGAACTTAAGCTATAGGAATATTATAGGAGTCAGGAATCGCGGGAAGAACTAAAAGCCATAAATGAAATCGAAAGAAACCCAAAGTATTTCTTCTCCTATGCCAAATCAAAGTCGAGAACAACGTCCAGTATTGGGCCCCTACTTAAACAAGATGGGTCCTACACAGATGACAGCAAGGAAATGAGTGAGCTACTCAAGTCCCAATATGACTCAGTTTTTAGCAAGACGCTAACCAGACTGAGAGTCGAAGATCAAAATGAATTTTTTATGAGAGAGCCACAAAATTTGATTAACACAAGCCTATCCGATGTTATCCTGACGCCAAATGACTTCGAACAGGCGATAAATGACATGCCCATGCACTCTGCCCCAGGGCCAGACTCATGGAACTCCGTGTTCATCAAGAACTGCAAGAAGCCCCTATCA